GAATGACTGGAGGGCTCCAGGCACTCAGGAAATCTTCGATCGTCGAATTTCGAATCTAGATCCATTGCCTGTCTCTCTCGATCGGGTAGCTACTGAAACCTCGAGCCTCAAACGTGGAACCAAGATCGTCGGGTCAGCTTGATGTATTTCGTAGGAGAACGCCGTCTGGTCGTTTTTGGTGCTCTTTTGTGCCGTCCTGGGGCACTCTTGGGCCGTCCTGGGGGCTTCTTGGGCCGCCCTTGGGGAGCTGGGGCCCTCCAGAGGTGTTCTGAAGCCATCTAGGGCCCTCTTGCGGGCCTCCAGTGGCGTTCTTGGAGGTATCCCATGGCTTTCGTGGGTCTCTCTTGGGAGCCTTCTGGGGGCATCTTGGGCTTCTTGTGGGCAGTCTCGGGGCTCTCTGGGGCAGTCTTGGGGCCCCCTTGGGGCCGCCTTCAACCCCTCTAGGGGGCCTCCCGGGCCGTCTTGGGGTGAGATTGGGGGCCCATTGGGCCGTCTTGGACGCTGCGAAGACCCAAAAAGCGGATATGCACAACAAATGTATTTCCGGAGGGAATGTGACGATTTTGGCTTCTTCGGGGCTCTCTTAACGGCCTCTTGGGGTGTCTTGGGGGCCTCTTGGGCCGTCTTCAGACCATCGAGGTTCCTCTTGGAGCGCTCTTGCGCTGTCTTGGGTCTCTCTTGTGCCTCTCCGACGACCCCTCTAATCGCCTTCAGTCGGCTCGCAAGGCCCAGCGAGGCGCCCTGGGAGGCCCGGAAGGGCCACCGAACCTTTTCCAAGGGCGTCCAGGGGGCCGCCGAAACGTCCGAGAGGGCGTCCGGAGCGTCCCTGGGGGAAGGATCCGGCTTAGGGGTGGGGGGTCTGGGGTGGGGGGGTGGGGTGGGGATTCCGGGTAATAGAAATATAAGACTAGGAATATACCTGTATGAAGGTATGTCTCTCTGTCTGGCTGTCTGTCTGTCTGTCTGTCTGTCTGTCTGTCTGTCTGTCTGTCTGTCTGTCTGTCTGTCTGTACGTCTGTCTGTATGTATGTTTGCGTGCGTGGGTAGGTAGTCCTGTATGCATGTACGTATATGCACGCATGCATGCACGACGGTATGTCTGTATGCACGTATCTATGCATGCATGTATGCAGCATGCACGTATGCATGTATGCACGTATGCATGTATGTATGCATTTATGTACTATGTACGCCTGTCTGTATGCCTGATTCTGTATGCATGTATGTCTGTATATATGAACGCTTGCATGCATGCATTCATGCATGTATGTGTATATCAGTGTATCTGTGTATGCATGTATGCATGCATGCATGCCTGTATGTATGCATGTATGTGCGCATGCATGCATGCATGCATGCATGCGTGCATGCATGTATGTATGTATGCATGCATGCATGCATGTATGTAGCTATGATGGTGCTGATGACGATAATGCTCATGCTGCTTCTGGTGCTGATGATGCTGACGTTGGTGGTTGTAGTGCTGATGCTGATGACAGTGATGATGCTGGTTATGATGATGATGATGATGATGGTGATGATGATGATGATGGTGATTGAGGTGAGGATAATAGTGCTGAAGGTAAGTCTGCTGAAGCTGATGGTGCTGATGATGATGATGGTAACGACGACGGCGATGCTGATGATTATGCTGATGACGACGATGATGCTGACGATGATTCACATGATGATGAGGCTGATGATGAGGATGCTGATGATGATGAATGCTATGATAATGCTGACGATGATGCTGATGATGCTGCTGAAAATGATGATGATGCTGCCGCTGATGATGATGATGATGATGATGATGATGATGATGATGATGATGATGATAACGAGGATGTCGATGATGGTGATGATAACAGTGACCGCGATGCTGATGTGGCTGATGATGAAGGCTATGAAGATGACGATGATGATCACGATGACGACGATGATGATGATGCTGATGATGCTGCTGATGATGATGCTGATGATCATGAGGATGATGCTGCTGATGATGATGATGATGACGATCATGTTGTTGCTGCTGTTGTTGCTGCTGCTGTAGCTGTAGTTGTTGCTATTTTTTGCTGTTATCAATGATGTTTGCGGTGATTCTGATGGTGATGATGACGATGACGATGATGGTGAGGATGATTATGGATGGTGGAGGATGGATGATGGGGATGGCGATGATGATGCTGATGATGCTGATGATGATGCTGATTATGATGCTGATGACGACGATGCTGATGATTACGATGCTGATGATGACGACGACGACGACCAGGAGGAGGGTAGTGATGCTGCTGATGGTGACACATCATAGTCACAATGTTAGAGGCCCTGCGCCAGCCTCATCGACTCTGCGTCCAAGTAGCTCTTGAAATTGACAGCTCTGGCCTATATGGGGCCGGGGTATGTGCCCAGCTGGGCAGGCCGAAGCGGGGAGGGAGGACGAGCGAGACAGGACTTAAGGGGAGCAGACAGGGCGCCGAGTCTCCTGTGGAGGACGTTCCGCGTGAGACGTGTGCCGAGATGGGCACGTGCCCACGTGCGGCTGCGCCGATTTGGACCGCGTGTGGAGCTCCGTGTGGGGCACCATCAGCGTACGGTAGGTTCGCGTCGTGTCGACCGGCGGCGACCCCGCCGCCGACGTTCAACGTTGAACGCCGGCGGCGGCCCAGAATCGGTCGATGTTGAACGATTGGACGTTGCGGAAACGGCCGATCGTTCAAGGTTGAACGATCCCCGAGGTGACAGAAACCATCGCTGGGGTCGGCACGACACGAACCTACCGTAAGGGGGTGTGCCGTGAGGGAAGTGGAACAAAGCAAGCTGATCGCGCGATGTGTTTGTGGTTTTGGTGTGCGCCGCCCGCTCGTGCAGGGGCAAGATGTCGTTCGCTTGGCCGGGCAGACTGCAGAGTACGTCTGCTGGTGTATAGGTGCGCGTGTCGTCTCTCTCAGGGCACCCACACAGGCGCGAAAAGTCATTTGGATTAGCGGTCTGGGCCGGGGACTTACCCTTCTCCAGGGGGGCGGCGCGAGAGCGGGGGCGAGAATGTAGTCGCGCAGCGCGCAACGCAAAGCGCGAAACTAGGCAACTTATTCTCTCTGAAATGCCCGCATCCTCCCCCAGTCCTCCTCTTCTTCGCTCATGCCTCGCGTTTCTCGCCCTCCTTTTTAAGATCCGTAGCCAGTGTTACGCGCGCGCGCTCTCTCTCTCTCTCTCTCTTTTGTTTTCTCTCTCTCTCTCTCTCTTTTTCTCCCTGTCTTTCCCTCTCTCTGTTTCTCTCCTCTCTCTCATTCTATCGCCCTTCCCCCCCCGTGATTCAAAAGCAAGTTACCGCAAACCGTGCCATCTGTTGAAAGACAGGGATGACATGATTTCGGTTATGTGCCAATATCTCGAAGGGGTAGATTTGGAAAGGCAGGGCTGCTACACCAGCCGGTGTGACTGTTGCTGCGGCACCTGAGGTCGCAAGACCTGCACTGGGATTTTCTGTCTTCCTGGTCATGTTGTGGAGCGCATGTGAACTTGGCAGCAAGAAGTGGGAAATCGCACGCGAGGTTGAACTTTCCAGCTATTTGAGTGTCGCAAATACCTGCCTTGAAAGAGTCGAGTATTACAAAAATTGCTTTTCGCCGCGTGTATTCTTCAGTCACGCACCATGCTGGCACGGGATCGATCATGCTATACATATGTGTATATAGATACAGCGATTATATACATACATACGCAGACGCATTCGTGATGCTTGAGCTTGCCATCATCACATCTCCCACATTGGCCGTGCATGGTGAGTTTGCTGGACTAAACAAGGAGTGCCACTGAGGTGTGCACAACATGCGAAACACAACTTTCGAAATGCCAGCTGTACTCTGTGCCTGTAGCATGGCGCATGGTCTGACTTGCCGAACACTGGCGAGACGCAATGACCAAGCAGATCGAGTTCACAAAGGCTGCTGCTGTCAACGGAGCTGCTATTCTTTGGCGCGGCGACAGGCCGTCTTCAGGAAGACCTTCACAGTCTGTACATGAACAGATGAACAGATTACCCTCGCTTTGGCATAGCTTGCTTGTGGAACCGCCGTTGTGAATGCATGCTCTGCGCGTGTCGTCGTTTTGCTGCGTTAGGATCTGCATACTGTGCCGTGTGAGTGGAGTAGCTCTCCGTTGCAGCGGCGTTTTCGTGAGCAGCGTCACGCGCACGTGAAAGACATGCGCGTTCTTTTTCGGCTACGTCTTTGGCGGCGTGTCAGCTGGAAGTGGATTTGGTGACTCGGGGCCCGTGGCCTCTCGTGCCCTGGTGGCTCTTTCTGCCTCTTCCTCTGGCCTCCTCCTTTGCTCCTGTCTGCTCCTGGGGCCTCCTGGGGCCTCACGTTGCCTCCTGGAGCCTCTGGGAGATCCTGGAGCCTGGCCTCCTCCTTCTGCCCCGGCCTCCTCCTTGGGCCTCCTGCCTCCTCCTGGGCCCTCCTGCTGCAACCTGGAGCCTCCTGGGGCGATTCCCAGAACTGGTTCCGGCGCTTTTCGAGGCGTGGTGGGCCCAGAGCCAGGACATCTCGGGGGTTGCTAGAGGCGCCCCGGTGCTAAGGTGCCCCTCCAGCTTCACCCCTCAGTTTGGAGACCCTGGGCCCTCTGGGCCTCGTGAGGGGTCCTGTGGAGGCCGTGGGGCGTCCTTGGAAATCCTGGGGGCACTTTGGGCCGGGGGCACTTTTGGCAACACCCGAGCATCGGATGTGGGAGGGGGCCTTGAGCAACTGCACCAATGCCACGGGGATCGGGGGATGCCGGGCAGGCGGGGGTAGCTACGACATGAAGATGCGGAGGGCGCCAAGGCCACGAGAGGCCAAAGGCCAGATCACTGTACCGATCTGCATATGCTTTGTTCTGCTTTGGCTGGCAACTTCTGTTTCTGCTCGCGCTCCGTCTGGCGAATGTCCTGCATTGTCTTGCCACTGGCAGCCAGTCGGCTCCAAACCAGCAAGCACATGCTTCTGCTCGCGGCCGCT